TTAGTACAACAATAAGAGAATGATTTAAAAATATTCAAGGCAGTGGGGGGAAGAAACTATATGAATGTACTAGCGATTTACAACGAATTAGTGACGTAGGTACGCATGACAATGATGGAAAAAAGTAGTGAAGGTAGTTGAAATTATGAGAACTCTATAGCTATTTATTAAGAATAAATAGCTATAGTTAATTATAAGTTATAGTTAGTTAATTTATTAAGAATAATAGATGTACTTATAAAAAATGATGCAAATAAGATTTAAGTGAAGAGGGTATAATTGTTAGAGCGCAAGCTATTTTTTGTGAATAAACGACATGTGCAGACATCAGTATACACCAGTATACATCTCGCGACCATGATGAAAAACAAGAATTTAATTGCAAAACAAATAAATAAAAATCTTAGGCATTCCTGCGGCCTGCTGGTAGGGCATTATAATGGGAAGAAGAACAGCTGAAGAACCTGCAACGAATATAAAGCAGTTCAAGGAATGAACACACAGATTGACTCACCAGCTTTGCCAGGCAGTTCACCGGAGAGTGAGTGCTTGAGAGAAGTGAACATCTCAAGTGATGATCAGAATAAAATTCTTGAAATAACGAGTCAACAGAGCATAAAGTTTGAAGTTTTTCTTTGGTTTTACACGACCTCAGGGGTACACGAAAATTTACCGGGCACTTCCATGTTTTCATTGATTTGAGTTAACCAAACAGCTGTTGGTTTCTCAATTATTATTAGAAATAACTCATTTTGTTAATTTAGATGAGTAAATTCCAAAGTTAAAATCAGTTAAACTGCACGAAAGTTAATTGAAACGCTGAGAAACACACGGTTAATTGACTTAATTTCAGTAGCAGTGAAATATGTCAATCCAGGGCTCGACCCACCACACGATGTGGAGCCTCTAGCTAGCAATCAATCTGGTCACCATAGTGTCTCAGAGTCCGAATATTCAACTCTTGTAGTCTCGATATAATCGAGAACGATTCACAGAACAAATTCGATTTGCGATTTAAACATTCAGAACAAATTTTTAAATTTGTAACCTGCACATTGAAAAGTTTAAACTTTATAAGGTAAATTGTATTAGTTTTAGAAAATAATTAGAATAGGGGCGAAGGGTTGAATGATATATATGCATTCCTCTCATTAAGATCAAGAAATACAATAACGATCTATAGAGTTGGTTTTGTAGTTTTAGTTATGTGTTTTTATTGCAAGTACCTTGTAAACTCTGACTCCAAACTACAAAAAGATTCAAAGATCGATCATGAATAGAAATAATTAGATAAATCACTCAAAACTGTTACAGTCATTATCGTTCGCAAAATGTGTACATATATTAAATTCTTTACTACGTAGTAAAATCAATTATTCTGGCCCATCCACATTATTCAGATCACAACTCGGTGAAGCAGTCACTGCATCGGCAAATTATAAAGAGCCTTGAATCCAAGGTTCAGACGCAAGGAAAAATTCTTGGCCTACGCACGGTTAGAAAGATCTACGGTTAAGGGCTACGTAAATTATCTACAGATTATATCAAAATAGTTACATATTAAAAATATTCAAAAATAAGATGATCCAACATCATTTACGCACGTAAAATTCATGTAAGAGGGAGTTTCAAGATAATGCCTCGTCATGGGTAATATTAGCTGGAGAACAACGTTCCAGTAACCTTACAAGGTCTCCTGCTGATAGATCGATGAGGGTAGATATGGCGCGATGTTGTCATCGTACCTGCATCTGTGAAACCGAGAGAGCGTACAGACACATGGTCAGCAATCGCACATCATAATCGAAATTGACGAGGAGAGATTATTTTTTTTGAAAATTGATGCATAAATGTCCGTACGAAAAACGGACTGAAACCAAAAATAAACGTAAATCCAGACAATTTCTCGTCAGTTCTCTCAAAAACTCTCGACTTGTGTGCCACTGGAGCACATCAAGCGAGTGTAACGAACTCGAATTGAATTATGGATATCAAATCCGCCTATAAACATAACAGGGGCTCTTTAAATTCAACTTCCATGGGGTTGGCAATGTAAACACGCAAAAAAGAGCCGACGCACGCACCACCTCACTTCCTAGCAGTAACCATCAGACTGAACTACAGCACTTCACAAATCACCTTTAATTTTAGCGTACAAGAGACGTACAACTAACCCATTGTTTGAAAATATTACCAAGGGTAGATGCGCTTAAGAATAACTCCTTAAAAACTTGTAGAATAGGTTTAGAAGAAGAGAGAATGTTTATGGATAGCTGGTTTAGTCTCAGACACAGCCAGCTGACTGAAGAAGACTTCACGTGTCGTGATCACTCGCGATGCCGAAGGTCTCCAGAACCTTCCCGGCTGCCACTGCATGCGCAGCAGAAGCCTCAGTTTGGCACCAAATGCCTAATAATCGAAATAAAAACTTCATAGAGCATAACTTTGAAAGCCGAAGAAGAATTATACAACATAAATTAGTTTTCCCGGGGAGATGAATAAGAAAATTATTGTTAGTTGCAATCGGACGAATGCGGGCGAGCCTGCCCGTAGATCGATACGCGGGGCGGGTGGAGAGCGAGAGCCCATGTTGAACTGGTGCTGCATAATCTGAAGCCACGGATGCTACAGATCTGAGTAGAGTATACGAGGGTATACTGCACTTATGCAATATTTAATTCAAGGTTGTTTAAGCTTCATCTTTATCAATAGTTCATTCATAAGAAATACCATCAAATTATTGTTGTGCCATCTGATGAGTTGTTGCTATTGTTTATGTACACTTTTCAACAACTACAACATCAAAAAATTATAATTTCATCATTTTGAGAACATTGCAATCATATAGGAACGATACTTAGCGACGGCAAGAAAAGCGAACAAAGAACTAAACACAATCCATCGTGTGAGATAGCGGACGTTAACGTGAGACGGCGGACATTGCGTGAGACAGCGGACACTAACGCGAGACAGCGGACACTAACGCGAGACAGCGGACACTAACGCGAGACAGCGGACACTAACGCGAGACAGCGGACACTAACGAGAGACAGCGGACACTAACGAGAGACAGCGGACACTAACGCGAAGCAGCGGCCACTATCACGAGAGACAGCGGACATTAACGCGAGACAGCGGACACTAACGCCAGACAGCGGACACTAACGCCAGACAGCGGCCACTAACGTCAGACAGCGGCCACTAACGTCAGACAGCGGCCACTAACGCGAGACAGCGGACACTAACGCGAGACAGCGGACATTGCGTGAGACAACATGCGGGTTATCAAGCGTTCCACGCGTTCCACGCGCGTTCAGATTCCCGCTGGCAGCTGGCGACACGAAATCAAGGCTGTCCGGGGAGTCGTGAGGCAGATTGCTTTGGACACACAAAGCATTTTTCTAAATGCAGCGAAATCCTCGGAAAAATGCCGCAAACACGATAATTTAATGGAGTTCTGGGTTCCCTAATTCAAAATAATGTCAAGAGGATGTCTTGAACCTGGTATTAAGTGGTGAAGATGTAGAAATTATAAAGTTTTTTTATTAAATTTTTGATAAAAGAAAAATATTTAGATATATCGGATTATCAATCCAACATTGAAAATAAAGAGCAAGTAAAAATAGATGTGTTTGAACCAAAAGAAGACGGAAATAGAGAACACTAATAAACAAAGTAAACAAATGAAAGCATAAAATGGCGATACAGAATAGAGAAGAAGGTACCACTCTAACAGCGGCCGGTCGAGCGACAGCGACTAATGACCAACGTTATGCCGTGAGCCTCGAAATAAAGGCGGGTGCTTCTAAATCGTCCTGGGTTTCTTCGACGACGCAACGAGAAACAAACATCGAGAGAAACAATAGACGAGACATGAAATATTGCGGTGTCTATCATGTTTGGAAATTATTCTTCGTAATATAGAAAATAGTGGAGTTTGTACACATAACTAAGATCTGTTGCCTTGAAAGTTCATTTCAACTACTGACAGCGGCAGAATAAGTAGACATTCACGTTTGAGTTTGATCATAAATTCATTAATAATAATAAATTGTAGTTATACAGTATCATTACTCATAAAATAGCTGTTGTGATAATGAATTAAGTACAAAACATAGCGGTATTAGATCAACGCCTTCAACCTCAACAAAAAATCTCACCATCACTCTTCTCGCCCAATAGAATAGAATTTTTGAAGCTCCGAGTATGAACATCTTCAAAAACAGACTAGACGAAGCTATGCATGAGCATATGTTCAGTCTTAAAATGCCTAGCAAATTACGGAGCAGGCAATAAGTCCAGCAGCTATCTCAATCAATCGTCAGTTATGGAAAGATCGGGTTCCAAAGGCCGGATCCCTTGTGAATCAAGTCACGAAAAGTTCAAGAATCGGCAACAGGCCATGGGCCTATTTCTTCAACGCCGACACTTCTATTCTATTCTATTCTAATTGTTTTCGAGAAGCGCTCTTAATTTACATGTAAGTCGCAGATGCTCTCCACGTTTCACTTAAAAGCATGCGTTCCCTCGCCCTCTGCTTGTATATGTCGTGCCGAAATTGCGGAATTGACGATTCTACGGAATCGGCAGCCAGTTGCCGAAGCTGTAGAATCTGCCTTTCGTTGCTGATTCAGAAAATCGGACGTTAGAGGTAGAACATACTGTAAATCGACAGTTAGAGTAAGAAAAGGTTAGGTCAAGTTCAGTCAAGTTTCTGTGCAGCTAAATATTTAAAAAAAACTTGGTCTAACAGAGCTAACCCCAGATTCCTATACTATAGAAAAGCTGATTCTAAAAATGCTGCAACTGGCTGCCGATTCCATAGAATCGGCAATTCCGCGATTTTGGCACGTCATATACATGCATAACTTTCACAGCTACCTGTTATATTCACACACAGACCTCTCTATTTCCTTATGATCTCGTTGGTAACTATGCTATCATATTGTATTATTATATTAATATTATTTAGAAGAACGCCGCACCCATGAGGTACTCACCAGCGTTGCTCGAGTGGGAAGATCCGCTGCGACGAAGGCTCTCGAACGTGAAGGCTGGACTGAGTGTTGCTTGGTCGACGCTACGACTCTTGCCTCTGTAACAACAGAGTTAGGATGTGATCTATCGTCATTTGATTAGGATGTCATCGAATTATTATCATATCAAATACAGATTTACCATTTAATGGGATCTAATTTTATTTCGTTTTCAGTTTACCACTAGAGATAAAAGTGCTGATATCTATTACATGATTTCTCACTCAAATAAGCTATTTCATCATTCAATCAATTTTCTTAAACCCCAAGGAATCCTATTTGCCTCATCTCCAGCTGTATTATTAATTAAAGATTTATATAAAGCCGTTGGGAAATACTTAGAAATGGCCATACCTAATTGTGTATCAGGTTTTGGAAGACTTTCATTTACCACACTATTTGCCGTGACTCGTACGAATTCTACGTACGCAGCGTAAATAAGTTATTCAACCGCGAGTGCACAGTTTGCAAGTTTCCAAAGCGTTTAACAGTCTTCCAATTAAGTGTTCTACTTCCACGATACCTCTGCAAGTTAAAAGGAAATGGAACTCTCAACACAATTTCTTCGACAAGTTCAAAGAAATATGCTTGCTTCGCAGTTAAATGCAGTGATTGCAGACGATATTCGCGATAAAACTTGATCTAATATATATTAACTGTCGTTCGTGTATACATAAACTTTTTAATATTCGATTTTATATTACGTGCTCGTGAGATAATGTGGTGAAACGCTAGCCGATAGCCGGATAACACGAGTGAATAACATTCACGATGCATATAAATGAGCTTGATGGAATATAACAGTAAAAATTCTTATTGAGGTGAGACCACTGATCACAAAACACAGAAAATATCATATATCACAGAACAGAAGCAATCAGTTATTTCTGTTTCTGGTTTTTCTAAGGATCCAAATCTATTACATTTTCTCTCTATACCGTCCTTAGAAGAAAGTTTTACGGCAGGAACTAAAGTAAATTTGAATTCATAATATAATGCGTGAGCTATTTCTGGTTTTCTGATCTCAGAATCAGATGAGTAAAAGTTGGTAGATTATCCACATCATAATTAATTTTCTGTAATATGATGATACGGGATGAAGCAGACTTTTTCTTTCATGATTTTGTTCTTATGCTGACAAATTAAGAAATAATAAACTCACCTGAAAACATTACGCAGACCTTCCAAAAAGAAAAATGGTTTCTTCTCATTTTCCTGTTGAGGTGTGTCGTAAATAGACTCAACTTTTCCATAGTGATCCTCTACAAAAAATCCGCCCACATTTATATTGCTGTCGCTGGACTTTCGGGCTACACGCACGGGCGACCGACTGTGACTCCTTGGTGTTTGTGATTGGTTTGGTTTCAGATTCTGATAATAGCTTTCAGAATGCTCGACGTCAAGTTCTAGACGCATATCATGCTTGAGATTGTTTTCTGTAATTTTCGCATCATCTGCAAACGGATCTGGAGACAACGTGAGGCCTTGGGGCATATCTTGAACAACTGAAGGACAACTGCCACGACGAGATTTCTTGTCTTTCAAGCCTTTAAGCTTGGTGATCACACGACTTTCGCTGAGGCGATGACGCCGTGAAGACTTGATCTGATTTAATCCAGTGTCAGACTTGGAAAATTTGGAGGTACGCAGCATGTATGTTTCAGATAGTGTATTCGAAAAATCGCTGAACTCTTTTGGAACGTCACCTGAAAATTTATTTTCTTGGCGATCAACCACAGAACTCTCAGAGTTTCGTCTGTGTTTATGGCCGCTCTTCAGGTACAAGGCAGCTTTCTTCCGTTTATCTTTCACCTTTGCATTCATCTTTGACAAGAACCTTCCCTCGGATGGTGAAACAGACCTGGGAGAAGTAGGACTTGGTATGGATAAATCAGAATCGTAGAGCTCATGATCAGCTGCATCGCTGAAAAGGCTACTGGTTGAACTTCCGCGACTTCGGTTCCCGTCTATTTCACCAGAAGAACGACTACGAATCCTTGAGATAAATTTTGACAGGCCAGACGCTTTCTCTTCAGTCAACGGCGAAGGGATATTGTCAGCTGACAGTCTAGATTTGAGGCCATTATGAAAGCCTTCAGGGGAATTTTCGTCAGTTCGAAGGCTGTCATTATTTGGAACTGAGTTGCTGCGATTGAGGGTGGGAAACATTTCATGGTTACATTCGAAAGGTCCGACTCTAAATTCATCGGTTTCTTGGTCGTCTGGAGCAGTGATCTCGATGCTAATTACAGGATGTACAGGTTTGTGCACCAGTGCTGGAGACAACTTTCCCAGCATTTCGCTGCGTTCATTGTTGTCAATTTCCATAGACGACGGCGGGAACATTCCTTCCGCGTATGAATGTCGGGCAGAGTTATATTTAATTCCAGGTGATCCAGTGAGAGCTTTACCAACAATCCGTGGAATATCAACGGAATTTTTATCGGATGAAATGTGTAAGCTAAAGGCTGACGTACCGTTCGCCTCAGCTACGAGATTGCATTCAACTCCGTCAAATTTTCTATCCATGCTATTTGGCTCTGTGTTCTCTCCGATTGTCATAATGTTAACTCGCTTCGATTCGTGGACGGAAGTACTTAAATTTTTAGTCTGCGGAACAGAACTATTTTCGACGGCTTCCAGTCCCGCCGCGTCCTCTCTAGGCTGATTTGAAACCATGAAATTAAAGGCTTCGAAGACCCTCGGAGACCCAAGCGGAGGAGAACCAAACGTGTGAAGTTCAGGAATATCTTTGGTGAATTCCAACAAGTCTGATTGGCTATCTGAATCATTTTGAAAGTGCTCACGTCTGATGGAAGTTGGGGAATCTGTGATCGGAAAAGCCAAACTTTTGCCGAGACGTCTTGGGAATTCGTCCATTGTTGACGTAGCGTTATTGTTTTTAACATTCAACGCCCAAGGTAAATCATGTTCTTTGCTGTTCGAAGATGTTTCACTTTGCCGTTCCTCATAATTTTTGCACTCGTAATTTTCGTCGTTTATGAATTCCTCAAAATAATCATCATCTAGGTCTCCACAACACAAGAATGGCATGTTATAGGCATCATTGATATAATGAATTGATTGATTGCTTCTCTCATTTTGCGAGCTTTCAACAATGATATCACTTTTAACTTGACTTTCCTCTGTCACTGGCAGTCTAACAAAGGGAATCGTGCTCTCGCGAGCAGACCCATTACTAGGGACGTCAGAGATACCTTTATCCATCTGCTAGTGTATTCAACCACAACGTCACACGTAAACACTGAAAATATAACGAGGGAAAACAGACTATAAAATTTGTTAGTAACCGATTATCAGGATAGGTGAAAAGTTTTACAGTAAGCTTAAACAATTTCGGACTCGTTCGTTCAAAACAGTAGACTGCAGCCAGAGCCTGAATCGACCTTATCGGAACTAGACAAAATCAGAAGTCTACACAAAAGTTTGGCGTGACTCAGAGTCCGATGGCTATTTGGTGATCGACCCATTGCATGAATGTTTTCAGGTTCTACAGCTTTTTTCACCAATTTCACCAATACTTCGCTACTTGGTGCACTTCAAAAAAATTCAGTTCGGATATTGACAACTTCAGTTGTCGAGAAATTTACTGAATAAACCATTTGTACAATCCGATTCCAAATAAGCTCCATCCATACAGTGTGTTTAGAATCGTCATACTGTCATTCCGTCCTCGTAAAACAACTTTAGAATCATGATGGTAAGATATTGAGAATTGTAAAGATAATATTTATTGGTCACGTCTGTAGGTAGTATTAAAATTTAGATGATTATGCTATGACAATGGCCATTAAAGCAATCATCAGCGCACGTTCTCGTTGGAAGAAACATTGCAATGTTTATTTTTATTGCAACTCAGCCCCCTCATCGCGCATCACGCGAGCGTTCGAGTCACATGCGATGAGCTCATCAGTGCTAATTGAACTGGCATCGTCCTGAGAGACCACTGGCCGAGTTGCTTAATTGTACTACTACTTTAAAACTCGTGTATTCTTCCAGTGACAGAACGACAACTTCACATGCATGTTACCTATAAAAAATTTCCAGTGTACGTCCGTGAATGGTCGAACCTGCGTATATGAGTACTACTGAGTAGTCATGATCAATAAACTGTAACGCTTTTCAATTAACTGATATACGACACATCTTCTGTTTTTTATTTCCGCGTCAAATTATCTGTCAAACCTTTCTTCAGGCATAAGTCAATGTTTTACACTCTTGACTTTTTATAACAACTCTGCAGCTTCAATTTTGCAGCCAATGGACAGAATTTAGAGGACCAAATTTGGAGCGAAGGGGCAAATGCTACAATTTTTTTTTAATTATCTAATTATCTAACTTTTTATAATTTGAATTATCTTGCATTACAGCCTTTCCTCAGAAATTGTTCGTGAGATAGCCATGTTAACTGTGACAGCTAACATAACGACGTTCATTGCACTTGCAATACGATTAAAAGATTACAATTTAACTGGAACGTGTCATTCAGTGGCCTCCAACTCCACCGAGCGACACATTTCTTTTCACTTACTGCTTGATTCATTATTAATTCCGATATTTAATCAACAATACCAGCCTGTTTTTTAATTAATTTGATTATATATTAACGTTATCGATAGGATTCGCGCTGACAAAAAAAAACAGAATACGATTGATTAAGATAAACTCGCCTAAAACACAATTTAAAATAGGAATATACGCAATGTACGCTCAAGTACAAGTACGATATGCGTAAACTAGGATTGCTAAAATGCCGGAATGCAATTCAAATGGGATCATCGATCATGAGAGATTGCTAAAATACCCGGTATGGAATTCAAATAAAATACTTAGTGTGTACAAATCCTCAAATACTTAGTGTGCGGACATTAAAAAGAAAATAACACGCATATGCATTCTCAGGTTTATAGCGAAGCTTACAAGCCGGGGTTTGCTCGAGCATAACTCGACTATATCAACAAGAAGCATTTCACAGAATTGAATGCTCAATAAGTTCTTGCACGCATAAATCGTGTCCTTGACACTCATATGACACCGA